GAGGGAAGCTATATTGTCATAAAATATTGAATACGCTGCCTTAATTAGATCCGAACGCGAAGATTGGTAAAGGGAGTTGCTTAATTAATATAGAAAATTAGATTACTATTTAATGATAGAGAAAAACTAAGTAGGCGAGATTGCAATCTTATCAACGGCCTCGTGCTTTGATATATCTGGTATATGGCATCTGGAAGCACGAGTTGTTCCATGAAAGGTTTAACGAGTTTTCTTGATTCTACCCTTGATCGACAAGTTGGTGGGGACTTGGTATTTATTAGGGAACAGCAAAGTAGGCGAGATTGCAATCTTATCAACGGCCTCGTGCTTTGATATATATGGCATATGGCAATTGGAAGCACGAGTTGGCTTGTTCAATGAAAGGTTCAACGAGTTTTCTTGATTCTATCCTTGATCAACAAGATGATGGGGTAAAATCTTAGATGTAGATATATGCTTAACTGTTTAACTGAAGGCACGTGACTCTATCTAAGGGTAGTACAAGGTCTGTAAGAGTCTTTCTGTATCTGACCTTTGATCCAGTAAATGAAATCTGCTTGATGGTGGGGGAACTTTTGCATGTCCCATAATCCTCTTCCCAGGTCGGCAATTAGGAGATACTGGTATGGAAAAGGCGTTTAGGACATAAAACATTCATTTGGTTTCAATTTCAAACTTTTATACCTCTTGTAAGACTATCATTACATATGTAAGACAGCCCTACAACTTGAACCAATTTTCTTTAAAAACATCTTCTTAACCTACACAAGTCAGACGACAATTTATTTCCCATAATTCTCTGTAATGATATGCACCTGTTGGAGGTTGAAGGTCAATAGATGTACGTAACATCAAAGTCGAATGTAATTTGTCGAAGAGGCTCGAAAAGTGCAAATAAATTGTGCACATGTTTGAGTTAAGTGGCCTAATGATGATGTTTTATGAGGTAAAATTGCGTCTGGGAAAACAAGTCTATGTGTATTTGGTAGCTCATTAAGAGGCTGTCTTCCGCCTGTCAGCCAATCAAATCGTTAGTTTGGTTTGAGTAATTAGACTTGTTTGAGCGTTTGCCCTCTAAAACTAATATATTGAAGTAAATTACACAGTTTTTCTGTATATACGATATACTGTTAACTTTTAGATACGAATCTTCTAATTTGTAGAGCTTACAAGTTTTATGGTTTTCGGCAGACTACGTGTAGAGGATCGGCGAACATCGTTTTGTGGCATCTAGGTCTCTTACCAGAAGCTTCATAATTTCAAATTTTCCTAAATGTGAGAAATCTCCGTCTAATGCCTTGACATCATTTTGGCACATTTCTTATACTATCATTTTGATTGGTTGTATTCGCGTAAAATCCAATCAAATCCATGTATTTGTTTACAAACTTCAGTGATACAAGAAAGTTGACGTTGTGAAAATGTCCATAGTCCTGAAATAGTTTGACGTCACATCATGTTTAAAACGGAAATGGGTCTTGACTGAGGATTATCCTGCCTAAAGCCATTTATCCTGCATTATAATATTATTGAGAAAAATTGCATTTTTTTATGACAAGAATCTTCTTCAATTAATTCGTCAAAATTTTCTTGAAATTTATTTAATTACGACTCATTGTGCTAAGTTAATCTAAGATTATGGTTTCCAATTTTTTCAAGCAATTTCTTCGTTAATCTTTTAACAATATCATTAAAGTTATTGCAATTTTTTACAGCCACGAAGCTTTTCCGTGATTTAAGCCGTAAATAATAACGACTACCAAAGATTAGCGACATTAATCGTTTTACCAACGTTCCGGTGTATAGACTCTTTTTATCGTTTTTCATATTTTAAGATCATCATTCAAATTTGCACACAAAGGCAGCATTTTAAAACAAATTAATAAAAATCCGTCGCATCGCTAAGCTTTTGAGCTCGATTAAACCAAAAGCAAACAAGTTTCGTTTTGCATTCTCTTTGATTGTGTGAAGAACTGTAACATTTCGTTTCGCCGCCAGGGAAATTCTGTTTATTAACTCGACCGGATGTAGTGTTTACTGGCGGGATTAAGCCGAGACATTCAACGTATTCTATAAAATTTTGTCATTTTCTTAATTGCTTCAGACCTTTTCCGCAGGGAATTGAAACGCGAGTGAAGAGCTTGCTTTACTGGTTATAGTAGATTGTATGGTAATGATGGAAACTATTCATTCGCTTTTCCTCGTTTGCCTTCTAGATCATCATATAGCCAGCGAACAAATCGACCCAAAATTTCCTCCCGCGAAACCCGACTCTTTTTATTGACCAAAATAATCAAAGAAGATTAAAAATCGGCTTGAGCGCTCTTCGTTACCAAGGTCGTTTATTACAGCAAGAGGCAGCTAAGTGTGCGACGTGGTTAATAGCCCGTGCTTAGATTGTCTCATCTAAGTGCTTATTTTAATTTAGCCGAGTTGCCGAGCATGAAATGATTTTTGCTCTTTCATTGGCCGCCGTGATTTATCTTCGACAGACTCCTCGTTTATTTGGGTATCAACAAAAGTGGATACATGTAATAAAAACTTATTTATTTAGAAATTTGATTGACGTGAGGTGATGGTGCGGAACGTTTTAAGCAACATTTTTCACTCCTTGAGGCATTTATCTTCCTTTGATAAGAAACCAATGTTAACAAAAATATTCCAATCTAATCCCCCGAAATTTGAAATATATTCTAAGTGGACTGAAATTGATTAATCTAAAACCTCCTCCTGCTATGAATAACTGTTATGTAATTGCAATATGGCGAAAGGTTATTTACTGTTATTTAGCAATATAGGTTATAAATTGGCATTAATAACATTTTGAAGTACAGAAATGCATTGTGTCATGCCAAGGGTCTACGAGTTTGCTTCGATACCCATCCCTTGATCAATCAGAACAACATTAGCGTTGGGCTTCCAGCTAGTTTTTTTTTAACTTGACCAATTGGTGATGGCATTAAAAGAATATACGTATAGAAAGTTTGAACTGACGTCACTACCAGGTGCAGTGTTATTAGCGATGTCATGACGTCACAGGTTGTTATTATTGCACGTGAGAATCTTATAAACGACTCCCCGGTCATCATTTTTTTGTTGTTTCCTACTGAAAAGCTCTGCAAAAAATAACAAATAATGTGGAACAGCATCTTTACTTTGATGAGTTCCGAAAATCGTTTTAACGAAACATGTTCTATACACCAAAATGGACTTCTCTTTGAAGAGTTAATGAACTTGTTAGCTTTATGTTTCTCCTTGACCCTCGCTATATTGGTTTAAATTAAACTCTAATTATGTGGATTATGAGGCATGTTATTGGTTATGGTTAAAAGTTATTAGAAATAGTAAAAGAACACTAAAAATCGAATAAATTTGTAATTTAAAGCCAAGACATAAGTCTAGCGAGCAATTTTCCCTTCATTTTTCTCAGAAAATTAATATCACAGGCCTGTCACAGATGGCCAGCCTTTAATACGTTTCCAAATTAACAACGTTAATGAGCTAGTTTCGAACAAACACCTCTTTTTAATCGTCCTTTAAAAAAATCAAATTAGTTTTCAGAGAAAACAGCTTGTAGGCGCTAGGAAACATATGGCGTGTACAGCCTCGGTTAGAATTTTTGACTGCGGTACTTCAATTCCGTCACGATTATCCAGTTAAACAGTAGTCTCGATTGTCGTAATGCAATTGCTTGCACAAAGTAGTCTGGTTTATCAAGTACACAACAGTAGTCTCCAATTACAAGATGTGTAATTGCCGTCTTATCTTTTTAACTAGATAATTAGGAGTAAATCGCTTGTTTACAGTGTACCTAAAAGTTTATTTTCAAAGCTGTAAGCGGCTCCAGATAATTTCGGTAATTGGTGGCAATTAGCAGAATTTGAAAAGGGCGGTAGCAGTCAAAAATATGGGTCAAAATCGTTTAAGTGATTCTTTTTGTCCAATTTCCTCCGTACACAAATATTTTGTTATCACCCTGAACCCGCTTGATGTGAAGTTCGCTCTGCGTTTTATCTTATGATAATAAGATTGTGTTTACATATTTGCTGTGAAGACGGGCTGTTTTCGAATGCAACGAATTTTTATCAAAGTTTCCCGCATTCCATGCATGGTGCTATTATCGAGTTTGGGACAAAGTGTATATTCTCAAGTGCAGTTCCAACGTTGATGTAGGAAGTTTCCCCTGACTTTAATATCCCCCATCGAAAGGCTGACTTTATGATCGAACATGCAACAGAAAAATAAGCATACGCTTGAAAAGTAAGACGTAAAACTCTATTTTATTGATATGACTTCTAAGAAAAAACACAGAAAAATAATATTATTGAAGCAATGCACATTGTTCCTTTAAACTGCGTCTTTCATGTACTATTACGGCATAACGTAACTTTAAATGACGCAAACACACATACATTAATAATTATATCCCTTGGCGATTGCAGAAAATGCATGGTGGTTGAAAAAGTTTGCAACGGGTGGTTATCTTTTTAATTGGTTTATTATAGTGTAATAATTGATAAGAATGGAGTTTATAATTGCCTTGTGTTTGATGGCGGTTGCTTTATAATTGGTTGAATGTTTGCTTGAAATATGTTTGTTATCGAATGATATAATTATAGCTCTATAGATTTTCTTTTGCTGTTATAATTGGACAGCCAGTCAGTCAAAGGCAATTATTCTTTGTGAAAAGAACTATCTGATTTTACAATTTCTGGAATATTGATATGATCATAATTTTCAATATTGCTCGTAAGTGCACCAGGGGCATCGTAAATGAGCTTGTGTACTGTTTTATTCCAATATGCCAGATGCACGTACGATTGTGTCTGAGATAAGCAATTTTGTGCATCCCTTGATATGATCCCAACTCTTGGTTGTAGTGACGTTACAAAACCTGCGTTATTTTTAATTTACAAACTTTACGGTGTCCCCGAACAACCATATTTCTTCAGTTGTTATAAACTGCCTTACTTATGATTTTCCTTTCCGTATCTTTTCAGATTATTTGGTTCGGGCGGAACGTGTGCGTCCTGCTCGCAGAACATTCCAGCCAGCGAACTAGTCATGCGATTACAAGGCAACGTCTACCATCTCAAATGTTTCACCTGTATGTCCTGCAACTGCCAACTGATGCCCGGTGATCGCTTTGGTGTCATCAACGGAAGTCTGGTCTGTGAACAAGATTACCCTAAAGTTCTCAAAGGACATGGTCCCCTCACGTCGCGTGCCACGCATAAGGTAAGCCTTGAACTCATTTCCTGTTGCGTAAATAAATGAATGTTTTTTTTAGTCAAATTTGATCCGACTTGCCCCAGTTTTCCCTAGTCAATGTTGATCAGAATAAATTAATATGACAATACGACCTATGACACTCAAACATATCGTATCTCATCACCCAATGATGGTCTAATGCCCCACTCTCCCAGACATACTTGTCCCGTGCTCTGAACCGTTCCCTCAATGTCGACTTGCCCCAGTTTCTCCAATACCGACTTGCCCCAGTTTTCCCCAGTCAAAGTTGATCGATTTTTTAATATGACAATACGACCTATGATATTCAAATATAACGTATCTCATCACCCAATGATGGTCTAATACCCCACTTTCCCCAGACATACGTGCCCCGTGCTCTGAACCGTTCCCCAATGTCGACTTGCCCCAGTTTCTCCAATACCGACTTGCCCCAGTTTTCCCTAGTCAATGTTGATCAGAATATTTAATATGACAATACGATCTAATCAATTGACTAATACGATTACATTTTAGATAATATAGGAATAGATAGAAAATACAAATTGAGTCACGATATAATTTCCACTATTTAATTAAACCAATAGAACATTACGCAGCTTTTTTTATATCCTTGAATATTCTATCTAAAGCTAAATTACATCATTCAAACGCTACGACGTGCCTTTTCATATGATGAAGGAACCGTTTTGAAATTGTCCAGCGAACGAATGAATGAATAAATGATGTGATGTATTTTAAGTTTGAAAATAAGCTATACATGTACTTATGCTCGTTTGAAACCGTTCAGCGAAGAATATTTCTTGCATTGTTGAGAACATTCGAACCCACGGCGCCAAAAACCGAGCAGACGACAACCCAACTCGTTACTAATTTAGCTATCCCACTGCCACATAGAGTCTGGTCGCAGCATTGTTCTTCCTTGAGGGGGAATTCGAACCCACGGCGCCTACTCGTCGAGCAAACGACAAGCCAACTCGCTACCGACTGAGCTATTCCACTGCCACCGGGTCGGCTCTTGGAAGTATAGCCGTGGCATCAGATTTTCTTACTCAGAGAGATTCGAACCCACGGCACCTAATCACGTAGCAGACGACTGAAATAACCCACTGCCACCGGGTCGACTCAGCATTTTTTCTTACCTTGATGAAGATTCGAACCCGCGGCAACTTTTCGCCGCAGCTATTCCACCAATACGGTCTTCAAGTACATAAATTACAACATTCGCTCTTATCGCATTTCTCAATCAAAGAAAACCATCAAGCTTGTCTAATTGCTTTACATGTGTGTCAAAACAATTTTGGCAAAGTTGAAAAAACTTGAGACCGACAGGTTCGCGGTGCTAATAGCAATACCAATAGTCGTAAACATGGTGTATATGAGATTTCCTTATCTTAATTTGTGAAGTGCAAATTTTAACTGACGTGAATGCGATTTTAATGTGCTTTTCTTTAATATTAAATTCCACTACATAGTCTGTTGCATAACTTTACCATAGCCAAAAGTTGTTTTTTCTAGGTAAAACTACATTGGTCTAATACATGACGTTATTATATTCTTAACACACTAATCAACTGCACTACAGCCCTCACCCTCCATGACTAAGAATTGCACTTTTATTTTAAATTCTCAGACTGTCATTATTCCTCTTGACATAAGGCATGACGCTATAGAATTCCAAATACCCTAATCAACTGAGCTACAACCCGCACCTTTGATACCATTACAGACTATTTCCATGCTTCTTCTACACTCCGAGACTAAAAACAAAAATAAATTCTCGAACTTGAAAAAATTATAGACACATGACGTTATGGAATTCCAAACACCTTAATCATCTGAGCTACAACCCTCACACCCATGACCAAGATGAGATGCAAAATATATTACACTCGAACAAAAATAAATTCTCAGATTTAAAAAAAATCTATATAACATAATTTGTTACCTAATACCCTTATAAACTGAGCTACAGCCCTCGCCCCCATGACCAAGACGAGATGCAAAATATAATGCACTTTCTGGACGATATTACACTCTTACAAAAATAAATTCTCAGATTTAAAAATAAATTCTATATCAAATAGTTTGATAGAGCGCAACATAATTTGTTACCTAATACTGTTAAACATATGTTTTACTGACAAACAATTTATGGTTGAAACCATGTGGGGTTCCTTGTTAATTCGACCTCCCTACGTCTGGACAACTCATTAGTGATCGCATTAACATCTCCACCATTTCAAGATGGCGGAAATTAGCAACCATTAAAATTTATGACTGCTACAAAGCTTCGAGATAATGAGAATTTTTTTGCACGGTCTGTATGAGTTAAAATACATCTTTAACGCCTTGGAATTCTAAAAGTTTTGTTTAAGGATGACTACAAGGGACGGACTGAGCGGTTTCCTAGGGTCCCCACTCTAATGCCGAAACTGATCGAGATTTTACTTTCTTAAATTTTTCATTGGATTTAGGCTGTTACATTTTTCAATGAATTTGTTCTATTTTTGGGGATAGCCGGAGTCGTAGGGCCCCTGATATTCCTGTGTCCGTGGCCGGTGGTCGTACCCTGGATGGTTAAATTCTCTGTACTCTTGAGTAGTGGTTTCATAAAGGGGAAAGTTAAAACTATTGAACCATGGACTTGAGATTCAACGAATTTCTGATCGTGTCATAACATAGCCTACTCACTGGACGCCCCAACCCCCACCTTTATTCTTATACCCCCACCCCCCTTTCCTGTCCCGCCCCCACACCCCACCGAATTACTAAAGCTATTTGAAAATTTCCTTAAGTGTACCCCAGAAGCACGTTCTTACGTTTTGAAAGACTATCCCTTCCAGAAATTCCCAAAATCAAACACCGTTGTCTTTAGCGTGTGTACACATTGGCTGCTTAAGTCTAGGTGCAGAAATGTAGGACGTAAAACTCCATTCCACTTCATTTTAGATGACAATGATGGATCGTTAAGTAAAATGCAGCAAGACGTAATTTGATTAGATGCAAAAGTTTAGATTAATTGCCTCTGTCACGATTTTGGTAGCTTAAGCTATTTTTAATGGCACTAGCATGGCCGTAATGTGATCCCGTTCTGCAACTTCTGGTGCGGAATTTAATGCCATTAAAATTTAATCAAGGTGCGAGATCCAATTAAAATCGCTAATTAGCATCTCTGGGGATTTCATTTATTTAAAATTAGTGCCCACGTGTGAAATTGGAAGAGTTTTTCTTGGTAAATGTTGACAAAAGGACACATAATGTCGAGATTTTTGAGGACTAATCACAAAATCCACGTCAGTTTTATCCCCTACGGTTGGACAGAGTTCGCTGTAGACTTGCTTTTTATTGAAAGACAGTGCGGACTTACGTATATAGTCTACAACTTATTTTGACTATTTGAAATTATACGTAAACAGGCTACTCTTTGGTATAAACTGTTTGTCTAAGGTCCCTTGATGTCTGTACAAGTTAAGAAATACTTTTAAAAAAGAAACTTTTAATTTCTGTACGGTTTAAAACTTAGGCTCTTGTGGATACTTTCTACCCTGTGGTCTTAACGATTTTCTTTTGTGCGTAGACCCACCCCCCTCCCCCATAGCTTTTCTATAGAGCGCATTTCAATGTTGTTTTGTTTTACTTTCCCACTGTGCGCCTATGCATTCCAACCGCTTGGCATTCTTCTGTGCGTGTCTCTTGCTTTTTCGAAAAGTTGTTCAGTTGTCAAATTGAACACAACGTCTGTGTAAACGTCAGAGCGCGCGAATCCTAAAGCAACTAAAATGGCCTTCAACCCAAAAGAGTTATTTTGATATCAAAGCGTTAATAAGGCATTGTGTTTAAATTATAATTGCCACTGACATAATAAGTCAAGTCCCCTTTAAGGCATAGGTCAATAAGGAACTGACGACGACTTCCAATGCCATCGCCTCTGGCATTAGGTGACAATGTACTTAATTTAAATTGCAATACGTTGACTGACATTTAGAAAATGTTAATACGATCGTCATTAATAGTGTTTTATTCCAAAATAAACTTAATTGAAATGCGCATTTCCGTCGCTTTGTCTGGTAGCTCTACATGATACCTTTTGAATTGAAATGGAGTTTTACGTCCAAATGACTGTATATCAAACAGAGCACTGCTTTTCTTTTCGGAGAAATCTTCATGACGACATCGAAAATAGTTATACGCAAAAATGATTCTGTAGCAAAGTGGAATTGTACCTTCCTTTGTGTCCAAATAAATCGGGTATTTTTGTTTTTATTAAAGTTGTGTTCCCCTTGTTAATATTTCTCATTTTCTCTTTTCAGGTCTGCTGAAAGCTTCTATCATTGTGCTTTACTTTTGGAAATAACGGCCATTTTGTTTCCCGGCATCCAATGTGAACCGGATATGAATGAAGACTCATCTCATTTCTTCTCAAGCGTTTGCAAACTTTTACGGACACCTATGGTATAATATTTCTTCGGTTACTTTTTCACTTTGTGATTAGATGGTATTATTTAAAATATTGTTGGTCGGTGTACATTAAGTGCCAAGTGTGTGTTGGAAAGGGATGGAGGTATTGGAAACCTGGGGAACGTGGTATAAGGTTTGATATCCGTATGGCGCTATCGTTACACGTTCTCAACAAGTGTGAAATCCTAGAGCTAAAATCCTGAAAATATCGCCTGGAAAAGGAAATCCAATAGATGAAGCGAATTCCATGTTGATTTAGGTGGATCTACAAGTTCTTTGGAAGAGGATGGCAATTGGTTCAATGATGAAATCCACGTGGATACCTTGGACTGTTCTTTGATAGAACTTGAGAATCCGAAATCCATAACCGTTCTTCGAAATTGGAGATTGTATCAATGAATGAAAGAATCATAGAATCCGAAATCCATACAAATATACTGGTCAAAGAATACTAATCTGATCGTTGAAACGAATTCCAAGCTGATTTACTCAGGATCAATTGCTGTTGTTACGAAAGTAGAAAATTCAGACGAAGAGCTAAAGCCCAATTGCCTTAGAATTAGTTG